TTACATATTGCTACACTTACCATGTGGTTTTGTTCAACGTCCTCTCCAGAGTGAAAACATACGGTAGGGCAGGAAATCAAGCTGAAAAATGTTTCTTTGTGAAAAGTCTTCATAATGCACATGACATACCAAAGTTTTAAACGCATCTTTCAAAGTAGCGCGTGAATGATATAAACATGAGAAATAGGGGTCTAAGCCCATTGTAATCTCGATTTTAAATGAATTGTTGAAATTAATTTAACATGCACCGGTTCATTTAATAAAGTAAGCGTCGTCTGCTTCGATCCATAGAGTCTGCTCGTGCAACGGAAGTGTTTCCCGATTGGCTAAACTCGTAACCATTACATCACGTGACTATTCTGGCGAACACCTGCATGAAATATACAACACTCCTAACCTGATTTGACATTTGTTTGTATAAATAATCTTAACCGACAAAGCTATTGGCGGTGGGGTTTGTCTAGCGAGGTTAAAGCGTTGACTCGTCACACCAATTCACCACATGGGTACACCATGTACAGCCGATTTTGACGCCCCTCTCCGTAATATGGCTTGGATTTTGTTCCAAATTTCGCAAATGATTTTGTAATAATAAATTGTAATTTTAGCGGTATTCATCATAATAGAATGGAGATGTAATACAGTGGATGGTCGACCATGAGTTGCCAAGCGCCTTAACATTTTAATGCATTTTTATCATAATGATGATTATGAAAGAAACATTATCTAAGAATTATGAATATGTATAAAGTACCACACGAGCAAAAACGTTTTAATAGAGGGTCAAAGGAGAGTATACCAAGTTTGTTTTTTATGTAATGGAAAATTAAAGACTAGGGTAGGAAAAGAACTTGCAACCACATGGCCCCTAACATGTTTGAAATGTTATTAATTTATGAAGAAAAGAGCAAATATGTTGATTTTCAAGATAAGACAACAAAGACACCCATCAACGAAATTCATATAGTCGGTCCCTCAGAATGTATATATTGTGAGCAAATCTTAAAGAGACCAAATTGCTGGGTTCATCACTACATTCAGTTTCAAGTATTCAATGGTTCAGAGGATATTGAGGGAGGTGGGGTGTGGAGGGGGGTGGGGTAGTTCCTGTGGTTAAAGCGTTTGGTCACGCCGAATGCCCGGGTTCGAATTCCCACATGGGTACAACCCGTGAATTGCCGTTAAAGGCGACTATGCTAGTCGTAATAGCGACTATAACGGGATCGGGTGGCCAGGCTCGCTGACTTGGTTGAAGCATGTCATCGTATCCCAATGGGCTCGACCTGTGAAGATCCGGGGTAGAATTGGTCTTCAGCAACCCATGCTTGCCGTAAAAGGGGACTATGCTTGTCGTAAGAGGCGACTAACGGGATCGGGTCGTCAGGCTCGCTGACTTGGTCGGTGCACGTCATCGAGCCCAATTGAGTGGATCGATGCTCATGATGTCAATCACTGGATTGTCTGGTCAAGATTCGATTATTTACAGACCGCCGTCATATAACCGTAATTCTGTTAAAGCGGCGTTAAAACCAACTCAATCACTTAACAGACATATACATTGTTGTCAGTTAATCGACCTGAATATTGCTGAGTACAGCGTTAAACAACAAACAAACAAACAAACAAACAAACCCACATGGGTATAATGTGTGACGCCCATTTCTGCTGTCGGGCGCTGTGATATTGTTGGAATACTGCTAAAAACGGCGTAAAACGGAACTCACACAGAAGATATGGCGATTAGGGGAAACAAGCTGCAGTTACGGAATGGAGCTGGGATAAATAATCAGTTTTATAATGATATATGCAAATATGCTGCGACATGCACAAAGTTCTGTAGTTCACCTGGAATATTTTCAAAATAATCAAACTATTTATAAACAATATTACCACAGAAGTTTCAATACAACAAAACAACATGCATATTCCAGAGAAACCCATGCTGGTATTATAAGCAAAAACTCGGAGGTCATGATGATGCATTAAAAAATAAGTAACAAAAAATCTTAATTAAGTAATAGTAAATAATGTCATGCTCTGTGTGGTGTACATGGCAACGATGTTTAGAATCCGATCAGAATTCGGGTATCCAAATTTGGAGAGACCCCAGGGTTTTACCGGGGGCAAAATATTGCGCCCAGGAAACGCATAACAATTATGAATGGACGCAAATAATATCCATTGATCACACATGGATATGGATGTTGGGATGATTAAATTGAAACTATAAGTTTGATTTGTGTGATATTTCTGTATCAGTGTAAGGACATCCCACGCCAGATTTCTTTACTTAGTCATTAAATTCCGATTCAAACAAGAAAATCCCTTTCCGAAAGAAGCAAAAGGCCTCACACATAATTTGCTGTTGGTACAGTGGTCACTGAGCTGGTAACCCGAATATATTCCCGGGACCCCCAATATTCATTACCAAGTCCCCAGGACTCGCAATTACACCGACTTCTGTAAATCTCTGCGACACCATTGCTGGGATTCTCAATCAAAGTCACTGTCTTCATGCAGTAAACGTTCATCACGTAAGAGTATTGCATCATATGGATGTCCGTTCCCGTGTTTTTCCAGGTGAACAATTAACTTGCCTATGCGTGTGTTTGTTACCGGTGCTACCGGTGGGGCAGGATTCTATCACCTTTTCACGAGCACCTGGTATCACTCCTATTTGATGGTGATTCATGAACACATGATCATGATATAGTCATCTGTTTTTAGCAGAGAATTCTTATGAATATGGTAAGGGTTTTGTCGCTTTTATCTATTATAGGCTAAACGGCGTTTATAGATAGATTGCTAGGTGATGTTGGCCTTCCGTTGAGACTTTATTGATTGCTGACTGATCGTTTGTCGTTTAACGCGATCACCCATCCAAGGACTCTCCTCGACCGACGTTGCTTAAAGGCAAGTTCACACGAAAATAAACCTATTTTTTATACTAAAAAAGTGTTATCCCAATTATCACATTTGTTACATTTGACCGCTTTCTAAATGGCATAGTCAATTGATAGCTTTCGGCCATGGGAGCCGTGCCAAATAAAACTTGTCAGAGGGCTACACAAAGTACGTGATCTAGACTACCAGTTGTCGGACTTTCATTTTGTGGAAGCCTCGGTGGCTGGGTGGGTTAGATCGCTGACGTTGTATGCTGGCGATTAGGTGCCCAACTCAGCGTGGGTTGGAATCCCGGACGGGACTCAACCCCAACGAGAACGAGAACGAGAACTTCAACATGTCTGTACTAAAGATTTGTTTGTGGGTTGAAAACAAACAAACGGGTGTGCATTTATGAATTCATGTGTGCGTTGGCTGTATGGCAAGCTGTGGGGATTATCAAGCACCAGTGATGTAAGATTTATCATCCAAAACTGGCTCCCACAGGAGATATCGCTTGGATGAGATCAAGCGATATCTACACTGTAGATATCGCTGCAATGAAATTACATCACAATGCTTTGCAGACCATTGTGACGTCACTCGTTACCATGACGTCACAATCAAATGACATCACTAATGGCTCTGCTACTGAAGCTCTTTGCAATACTTTTTACACTGAAGACACTGCTAATTACTGTCTACAAATTGAAAAAGTTGAAAGAATGATGTTGGATGATAAATAAAATCTCACCCTCGTGTCTTTTGATATCAAATATATCAACACTCGTTGAAAAAAGTGGAAAAAATCCTCTGCAAGCCTCGGAATTTTTCCACTTTTATCAACTCGTGTTGATATATTTGATATCAAAAGACACTCGGGTGAGATTCTCTATATACACTAGCGTTTAGGAACAAGCACTTCAACATGTCTCTACTAAACGTTTGTTTTTAAAATGTGGATTCCAAAACCGATACCTTCCAATACTCATCCCGTTTCATAGCTCTTAACTATTCCATCGTGTTTCCAAGCAAATATAATGCAGTACATATCCTAATTTGCTACCCCATCAACGCACACGTCAATTAAGTACAATAACATCAATAATTTGAGACCACCCCCAAATCGGTGACATTTTCACCTGTGAGAATGCACGGCACGGTGTGAGGTCATCACCTCGGAACAAGTGTTAGGTAATTACCTCAGGTTATAGGCCATTTCATACATGCATGACAACACATGAATATTTTCTAAGTTGATCGTCATTTTACCTGTAAAAGTACATATTAAGGTTAAATCAATATAAATACACAATACATATATACTACTACATAAATAAATATATGTAACTAAATGTTTTTATTGGTACCCCATGCCTTGTTGGTTAATGTTTGACCGCCTCCGTGGTCTAGTGGTAAAGCCTCCGCCCGGAGAGCGGAAGGTCCGGGGTTCGATCCCCGACCGCGCAATACCAAAAGCATTAAAAGGTGGGACTTGTTGTTACCCTGCCTCACGCTCGGCAACAAGGACTTGTCGGCTTGGAATCCGTATACTGTGTCTGAGTCGGGTATTCATGTTAATTTCGCTCGTCACGCCGAACACTCGGGTTCGATTCCCATTCTGAAGCCAATTTGTGGTGTGTCCCGCCGTCATATTGCTGGAATATTGCTAAAAGCGGCGTAAAACCTTACTCACTCCCTCGACCACTCACTATTCATGTTTAACTGCGGCATGGTATCTCAGTGGGACAATTGGCATTAGTCCGGACTAGTACAAGCAGCCACACACGCACACACACACACACACACGCACACACACACGGGAAGAACTAGCGATACACAAGTGTGTGGCTGGTGGTGTGTGATCCAGTGTACTTGTTTGTGCTACCAATCTCGCAATAAAGTTGTATGCACAATTCTATTTGTGGTAAAAACATAAAAATTCAGTCGACGGAATGAAAAAACACAACGTTAATGGGGAAATCGGAATGAGGTGTTATTTTTCAATTTATTAATGACAACATTTAAAAAAAGAATGACCGCGTGGGGATTGAACTCTTATATCTGTATCCTTGGTCCCCAAAAAGATCACAAGTGTATGATTCACATAGAGTGATGTCCCTTTGATGACCAGTCATTTCGAAAGACACAATGAGAGAATCAAACGAAGGGTCTGGTCTCAGTGAAATTACTTGCAGATTCAGGTAACTTCATTGTCCTTTACCCACCCCAGAGCTTTATCTTGCCGAGGTAATAGTCTGCCGAGTTCGAAAGCCGTATGAAACAGTCGAGAATGAATAATGTCATCATTTGAAAACTGCTACTGCTTAGGTGCTGTGGAATGAGTAAGACTTCCTTCCACCCTTATCCCCCCGCCGCCAACCCACCCCCAAAATATATATGACTAAAAGGATTGCGAAGCAATGCATACATATACAACTTTGGGGGGTGGATGTGTGGAATACGGGCGGAAGTCTTTCCCCGAAACGTGAATTTTGTTCATGCGTTTTTCAACTGGAGAAAGATTCCAGAATGAGGTTATGTGTGGATCGAAACGAGGCTTTACGAGCTGCGTTTAAGGGGCTATATATTATAGTATATATACTATAGGACTGGTGCCAATTTATAACGCTATAGTATAGTCCTTGCCTAACTGCCCGATAGTTAAGGTATCATAAGGACTAGTAGAAATAGACCCTTTTAAGGGTTTTGCTACATGCTATCATAAGAACTAGTGGGCTAAACCTGTTTGTATATATCCCTGAAGGAGGAAATGTTGTTGAATGCATTTTCAAACATCGGGCCCAAAGGCACGAATCATGCACTTGACAGGGTATTCTTGTTCATGTTATGTTTTTCACATTTTCAGTTGCATTAGTTAGGACAGCCCTCCAAGTTGATCACATGGGATTTTCTGTGTGTGGAGTTTGCACCTCATCCCCAGCTAAAATCTCTAAAATCTTGCGCAGGGTGATTTACATGTCACGTGTCAAGAACTCTCTGACTGTAAACTTCTGTGACCGAAATTAGGTCAACTGACCTAATGGGAGCAGTGCATCGTATTTCTACAGATTGATTTGCATGCTTACTTGTACGTAAGCTGCAACCACTCAACCAGACGTCTGTCATGGTCCACCAATGTGCAGTGGATGAAAACTATAGACCTCCGCTTCCAACCTGGCAGACACAAGGCACCACGTTTCATCTTCCCCTCGCTATAAGAACGGGAGAACATATACGGCGTTTAGGGGGTGGAAAAGATCACCTTACTTCTTACGGTATGATCTTTCAGACTCCAGAATTTTGTATCTTCAGCCTTGGCTACCAGATACAGCACTGATTTTCTTATTCTTCCCACGACCGCTCCATCTACACCTGGTGACTTCACGCCAAGTATCATGTTCCCTTTCTTCCATCACCTTGATACAAGAACGGGAGAGCGCTTATATGACGCTCAGGGGATGGTAACGATCACATTACTTTGTGCAGTACGATCTTTCCGACCAAAAACATATCTATTCCGATACAGGGTTGATTTTATGACTCTTACCACAACGGTTCTGTCAATCTCTGATCTTTGATGACTACACATGGACTACACTGAGAGTCCTTACACCAAAGAGATGAAACTGGTCACCTGCGATCTTCCAGAATCACAGTTTTACAGATATTCAGCCTTATCTTTTGGATACAGCTTCGACTTCCCCCTAACCGGTTAAGTTGATGCCTTTGTGATCGGTTGAGGAGTGGATTTATTTCGTCTACATGGGGTTTGGTATTGGTTCACAGCTGAACACACTTTTCCATGTAACATCACAACATGACTCAGGGGCACGGGTGACCCAGTCATCTAAGGCGCCGCGATTCGCTGTGCAGAGTTGCGTCCCTTGGGCAAGCCAGAAACCTATGATTGTGGGTTCGAATCCCTGTTCGCCTCAATTATGTCTCTAGGTTTGTCACCACCATACCCGTGCTCGTGGGTTTCACCGAAGTGGTAAACGTCTTAGACCTGCATCACTTCGGGCTTTCCTCCCATATTAAGCTGACATGCCGTGATATAACTGGAATAATTTTAAAAGCGGCGTTAAACCCAACTCACTCACAACATGACTCGATTGGAGACCCCCTGCTGTTGACCTTTCAACTTTGCTGTCTTGTAGAAGGCCTCATCTACTTTGGCTTCCTGCTCTTCAACAGCCACTTCTATTTTGTCAGTGGCAAGTGCTCCAGGGATTGCTCACGCAGCCGTCGTTGTGTCCGGCTGAGGTCAACTACTCTTGCGTCCCTTCCCACAGTTCCTGACGCCTTCCTTTCATTGGTGGACAGTGGAATTGAATGTCTTCCCCTGTGTCTCAATGACCGCGATACATCCAGGGCTCAGATCCGGGGTAGAATAGGTCTTCAGCAACCCATGCTTGCCGTAAAAGGCGACTAGGCTTGTCGTACAGGTGACTAACGGTATCGGGTGGTCAGGTTTGCTGACTTGGTTGATGCATGTCAAAGCATCCCAATTGTGCGGATTGATGCTCATGATGTCAATCACTGGATTGTCTGGTCCAGACAGCTGTCATATAGCTGGAATATTGCTGAGAGTGGCGTTAAAGAACACTGAAGGGTGACAATGGTGAACAGGTGACATAGTGTCTCGTGATTTTTAACGACGAACACTCAGGGGTGATCCCGACGCCATTTGGCACACTTGTCCCATTCTTTAATCTACAAGACACAAACGAACTCTTGATCAGTAATGATTCAAAAGCTGATTCATCCTCATGGCTTTAGTTGCCAGTTCCTTTTTATGATCCACGTTATCATTACAGCTTTCCCTCCCACACTTTTCTGTGACAAATCACCAAACAAATTATAAACATGCTGTCATTCATGCGTACTCTTGAATTCAACGTCTGACGACTGGGGTTGTTCATGCCATATTGGCTCACCTCTCACCACTCGGTATCTTGTAGATTAAAGAATGGGTTGAGTGTGCCAAGTGGCTTCGGGATGAAGACACCATGTACCTGTAACCTTCATAAGTCTCTGTCACCTATTCAACCCTTTCCATGCAGTTCCGTAACATCTCAAGCATGACAAGGTAAATTTGCACTAAGTTTAACAGTGTAAGTTGTCAGGCTAACAATATGAAGGTCGCGAGTTCTCTCCCGGCAGATTCTAACAAAAAAAATAAGTTGCTTGTCTTTATGACATGTGACCTTCGGCAGAGATCATCCTCATGAGAAAATTATGTTCTGATTCTAATGGTGCTCCCTTTATTTCACTACACATGGGTAAGAGTGAAGTTTATTTCTTAACTAAATAATACACGACTGACATGTGTCAACCTGACCTAACAACCTAACACAACCATCCAGCAGTAATCCTACACAGACTGGTCTAATCACTGGAGCATAACTTTGTTTTGATAACTTTGCAGGCAAAGGAACTGTAGACAAAAGTGGGTGCCCCTCTGTGTGTGTGTGTGTGTGTGTGTGTGTGTGTGTGTGTGCGTGAGCGATCGCTTTTTCATTATTAATGTGATATATTAAAATTGGTCTTCCAGACAATGCTTGTCATAAGACTTGCCCAGTGGGATTGGGTGGGCATTCACAGCAACACCAATGCACGATGATACATTAAATTTCCATGTCACTATTATTGTAGGTAGCTGTACTGATACAAAACAATGTTTTGCATTGTAATAAGCATGTAACATGTTGTTGATGTGCTTTGTAAATTTTAATGCCTAGCACCATATTTCAGTGTCTGTCTGTTTGTTAAATTTTCTTAAATTTCCAACCAGAATCGTTGACTTTCAAGCAATATTTTTTTTGTATGCTTTACTCCGAGTGACATTCTTTCATCACATTATACATATATCTTTTCATGACTTTGTGTGACAAAGATGATCAGCAATAATGAAGCTAAGACACAACTCTTTTATGTTTTCAGTGAACACCATGACATCCACAGTTTGATGATGGAAGTACAACGCCAGCCACATGATCCTGGCTCTGTAACTGAAACAGATGTAGTCATGGGCCTTCCTGTACAGAGGTGATCTCAGGAAACACTTCCTGATTGACACAGGTGGAGACACTGTCTGTCCATGAGACAAATTAAACGTCAGTGGCACAATGGAGTCTTGTTGGGAGTGGTGAGGCTGGGAAAGAATAAGTATGAGGAAGTTACCTGGGGAAACTCACACATCTTGCTAGATTCAGACCTTTTTACTGTAGTGGTTTTGAGAAAGAATTCACCACAAATCTGAAGACATGAAGACACATGAGAGTGGTCACAGTGATGTGAATGGAAAACCTCATCAGTGTGGGGAATGTGGGAAAGTGTTTAAAACATCAAGTAACTTGCAGACACACATGATGAGTCACAGTGGCCTCAGGCCTCATGAGTGCAGTGAGTGCGGGAAAACATTTCCACTTAAAGCTACTCTGAAGACACACATAAAGATTCACAGTGGTATCAAGCCTTTTAAGTGTGTTGAATGTGGGAAAGATTTTGCACGAGCAGATAGCTTGAGGTGTCACATGATCAGTCACAGTGGACTCAAGCCTTATGAGTGCAGTGAGTGTGGGAAAACATTTACTCTTAGAGGTAATCTGAAGACACACTTGAAGATTCACAATGGTATCAAGTCTTTTAAGTGTGCTGAATGTGGGAAAGATTTTGCACGAGCATCTACACTGCAGTCTCACATGCTGAGTCACAGTGGACTCAAGCCTTATAAGTGTGGTGAGTGTGGAGAAACATTTACACAAAGGAGTAATCTGAGTGCACACATGGGGCTTCACAGTGGTATCAAGCCTTTTAAGTGTGGCGAATGTGGGAAGGAGTTTGCACATTCAGGCAACCTGCAGAGACACATGGCGAGTCACAGTGGAATCAAGTCATTTAAGTGTTGTGTGTGTGGGAAAGGGTTTGCAACATCATGGACCAAGAAGATGCACCAGAAGAGATTTCACATGGAATGGCATTTACAGAATCAGAAGCATGATGAAACGTAGGGAGAACATTCACAGCATCAAGTTGTCTGAAGACACACAGAGGGCATCATCAGGGAGTCCTGCCCTGAAAGTGTGGTGTGAGTTGGGGGAACATTCACAGCATCAAGTTGTCTGAAGACACACATAGGGCATCATCAGGGAGTCCTGCCCTGCCTGCCCTGAAAGTGTGGTGAGAGTTGGGGGAACATTCACAGCATCAAGTTGTCTGAAGACACACAGAGGGCATAATCAGGGAGTCCTGCCTTGAAAGTGTGGTGAGAGTTGGAGGAACATTCACAGCATCAAGTTGTCTGAAGACACACAGAGGGCATCATCAGGGAGTCCTGCCCTGAAAGTGTGGTGTGAGTTGGGGGAACATTCACAGCATCAAGTTGTCTGAAGACACACAGAAGGCATCAACAGGGAGTCCTGCCCTGCCTGCCCTGAAAGTGTGGTGAGAGTTGGGGGAACATTCACAGCATCAAGTTGTCTGAAGACACACAGAGGGCATCATCAGGGAGTCCTGCCCTGAAAGTGTGGTGAGGGTTGGGGGAACATTCACAGCATCAAGTTGTCTGAAGACACACAGAGGGCATAATCAGGGAGTCCTGCCTTGAAAGTGTGGTGAGAGTTGGAGGAACATTCACAGCATCAAGTTGTCTGAAGACACACACAGGGCATCATCAGGGAGACCTGCCCTGAAAGTGTGGTGAGAGTTGGGGGAACATTCACAGCATCAAGTTGTCTGAAGACACACAGAGGGCATCATCAGGGAGTCCTGCCCTGAAAGTGTGGTGAGAGTTGGGGGAACATTCACAGCATCAAGTTGTCTGAAGACACACAGAGGGCATCATCAGGGAGTCCTGCCCTGAAAGTGTGGTGAGAGTTGGAGGAACATTCACTGCATCAAGTTGTCTGAAGACAAACAGAGGGCATCATCAGGGAGTCCTGCCCTGAAAGTGTGGGAAACATTGTCTGTCCATCTGACTTTCCAAGAGCTGTGATGCTATTTTCCATACCTCTAGCGAACATCCCGATCGGCTTGTGTGGAGTACAAATTTGACATGTCATGACAACAATATGCTTTATTTTTTGTTCAGAGAGCAGCTGGTAACTTTCTTCTTGCAGGATGGTCTTCATTTCACAGTGAAATTTTCCTTTCTTCATGGTAGGACATGATGCAACATGCCATGATTTTGTGGTTCCTAGGCAATCCTTTTAGGCTCGTACCAGAGTTTCCGCACTTGTCTTTTGTTGAACTTAAACACACAACTACTGCATTTGCTTGATTAAACGCTGAGCTTCAAGTAAATGCTGGTGTCTCCATTACATTCTGTATGAGGACAAAAATGGAACATGAAATATGCCGCACATTAGTCATTGATTTGTACTTATAGATCACCTGACTGAAAGTGGCTGTCACACATTGAACATGGTTTTGACTTGACCTTCTAAACAAGGGTCCAGGGGACCCCCAATAATTAATTTCAAGAGTCGTTACAGGAAATATGAGGGTCCTGTAAAGTAATGAAATGGTCTTGTGTTCTGCACTGCAAGATTTGATGATCCATTACTGGACCTTGATATTTCTTGTCAAGGATTTGGTGCAATGAATATTGTTAGTCTGGGTCCCAAGGAATGCACTGGTTTTTTTCATATGTCCATGTTATACATTTCTGCATCCTGTCAAAAGCCTGATTAAAGCAACCACAAATCGTCCGTCGTCTGTTGCCGAATCTGGAATTTACTTCAGATGACGAAAGACTAGTGACATTCACCAGTGGTAGATTAAAAACTAACTCAATCGATTATTCAAGTGATAGTCAAGTGAGCTTTTGTTGTGTTGTCCATCAGCTGTGAATCCATGATTTTGTACAACTCTTCTGATTCGTCAAGGGCTATGAAATCTTGTAACTTTGTTACTTTGATCCTCTTACATCCCTCCTGAATCTAAAAGAAATGTGAAACCTTGTAATTATGATTGCTGTTTAGCTCACCTGACTGAAAGTCAAGTGGGCTTTTTTTGTTACATGTTTCTTGTCTCATTCGACAGGCATTGAATATCTACATGTTTTACTCTACTTCAGGTCCCACCAAATAGCATCCTTATGTTTGATGCTGATAATAATAAATATTATTATGTAATTGATAATAGCTACTAAATCAACAATCGGACTCAATATCTGGGAACAAACAGCTCCCAGGGCTGCATTCTCCTTGTAGTCTTTGCTCATCATGCAGATCGAACACCTTCTGTTGATCTTTCTCAGCTGCCATCATTACTGCTGTCCACCCATGCTGCCCTCTGCTGTCAGCTTCTGGTATTCATAGCTGGTGTGGAGGGTGGGTGACAGATCATGTCTTGTTCTTGCTGGGTCACTTTCTATGATTTGCCGAATCTGGAATTTACCCTGATGACTTTAATATGTGACATTTACCATGTGTTCTTACTTGGTCACTATCTATGAAACACTTTGAGTTTCTCCTGATCCTTCTCAGCTGCTGTCATCACTGGAGTCCACCCATGCATCCCTCTACTGTCAGCTACTGGAATTTATAGCTGGTGTGGAGGGTGGGTGACAGATCATGTCTTGTTCTTGCTGGGTCACTTTCTATGATTCTGAATCTGGAATTTACCTCCCAATCAACAATCAAATATCTCAAATATGACTCAGTATCTGGGAACAAACAGCTCCCAGGCCTGCTTTCTCCTTGTAGTCTTTGCTCATCATGCAGATCAAACACCTTCTGTTGATCCTTCTCAGCTGCCATCATTACTGCTGTCCACCCATGCTGCCCTCTACTGTCAGCTACTGGTATTTATAGCTGTGAATCCATGATTTTGTACACGTCTTCTGAATCTACAAGGACTATGAACTCTTGTAACTTTGTTTGCTGGTTAGGTAACCTGACTAAAAGTCAAGTGAGCCTTTGTTGTGTGTTGTCTGTCATCTGTCAGTCCTTCATTTTCTACATCCCTCCTTAATCGACAAGGAGGTCAAATGATCTTTTATTGTTACATGTTTCTTATTGTCTGTCCAACCAACTGACATTGAATATTAACATAAATTGTCCCTTGAACTCTACTTCAGGTCCTGCCAAATAGCATCCTTATGTTTGATGCTGATAATAATAATTATATTATTGTAGTATAGATAATAGCCACCCAATCAACAATCTGACTCAATATCTGGGAACAAACAGTTCCAATGCCTGAATGCTCCTTGATCTTTGCTCATCATGCAGATAGAAAACTGTCTTCTGGTCAGCTTCAGCTGCTGTCATCACTGGTGTCTATCCATGCACCCCTCTACTCTCAGCTTTTTACAGCTGGTGTGGAGGGTGGGTGACAGATCATGTCTTGTTCTTGCTGGGTCACTTTCTATGATTCTGAATCTGGAATTTACCTCCCAATCAACAATCAAATATCTCAAATATGACTCAATATCTGGGAACAAACAGCTCCCAGGCCTGAATTCTCCATGATCTTTGCTCATCATGCAGATCAAATACTTTCTTCTGACCAGTAGCAGATGACTTTATTTGAGTGACATTCACCGGTGGCAGATGTATTCCACTTTTTCTCTTTCAACCTTATGTCCCAGGTTTAAATATTGCAGACTGAGGCATTGAAAACTAACTCACTTTAGTTAGTCAGGTGATAGTCAAGTGAGCTTTTGTTGTGTTGTCTGTCATCTGTGAATCCATGATTTTGTACATCTCTTCTGATTCTTCAAAGACTATAATCTTTGTTTGTTTGGTAGCTCACCTGACTGAAAGTCAAGTGAGCTTTTGTTGTTACATGTTTCTTCTTGTCTGTCCAACAGACTGACATTGAATATTAACATAAATTGTCCCTTGAACTCTACTTCATGTCCTGCCAAATAGCATCCTTATGTTTGATGCTGATAATAATTATATTATTTTATTATAGATAATAGCCACCCAATCAACAATCAGACTCAATATCTGGGAACAAACAGCTCCCAGACCTGAATTCTCCATGATCTTTGCTCATCATGCAGATCAAATACTTTCTTCTTACCAGTAGCAGATGACTTTATTTGAGTGACATTCACCGGTGGCAGATGTATTCCACTTTTTCTCTTCCAACCTTATGTCCCAGGTTTAAATATTGCAGACTGAGGCATTGAAAACTAACTCACTTTAGTTAATCAGGTGATAGTCAAGTGAGCTTTTGTTGTGTTGTCTGTCATCTGTGAATCCATGATTTTGTACATCTCTTCTGATTCTTCAAAGGCTATAATCTTTGTTTGTTTGGTAGCTCACCTGACTGAAGTGAGCTTTTGTTGTTACATGTTTCTTATTGTCTGTCCAACCAACTAACATTGAACATCTACATACATTGTCCCTTGAACTCCGCTTCAGGTCCTGTCCAAATAGCATCCTTATGTTTGATGCTGATAATAATAATTATATTATTGTAGTATAGATAATAGCCACCCAATCAACAATCTGACTCAATATCTGGGAACAAACAGTTCCAATGCCTGAATGCTCCTTGATCTTTGCTCATCATGCAGATAGAAAACTGTCTTCTGGTCAGCTTCAGCTGCTGTCATCACTGGTGTCTATCCATGCACCCCTCTACTCTCAGCTTTTTACAGCTGGTGTGGAGGGTGGGTGACAGATCATGTCTTGTTCTTGCTGGGTCACTTTCTATGATTCTGAATCTGGAATTTACCTCCCAATCAACAATCAAATATCTCAAATATGACTCAATATCTGGGAACAAACAGCTCCCAGGCCTGAATTCTCCATGATCTTTGCTCATCATGCAGATCAAATACTTTCTTCTGACCAGTAGCAGATGACTTTATTTGAGTGACATTCACCGGTGGCAGATGTATTCCACTTTTTCTCTTTCAACCTTATGTCCCAGGTTTAAATATTGCAGACTGAGGCATTGAAAACTAACTCACTTTAGTTAGTCAGGTGATAGTCAAGTGAGCTTTTGTTGTGTTGTCTGTCATCTGTGAATCCATGATTTTGTACATCTCTTCTGATTCTTCAAAGACTATAATCTTTGTTTGTTTGGTAGCTCACCTGACTGAAGTGAGCTTTTGTTGTTACATGTTTCTTCTTGTCTGTCAAACCAACTAACATTGAACATCTACATACATTGTCCCTTGAACTCCGCTTCAGGTCCTGTCCAAATAGCATCCTCATGTTTGATGCTGATAATAATAATTATATTATTGTAGTATAGATAATAGCCACCCAATCAACAATCTGACTCAATATCTGGGAACAAACAGTTCC